ACACCAACTGCTGTTTACTTAGTTTTTGGTCATCTCCCATTGTTTCTTTGAGTATTACATAACAAAAGTCTAAGCAAATATATCAACCTGAATAATATAAAATTGAGAATGGAAATGGGGAATGTGTCAAAGAGACAACAACCCGACCATAGAGCAGACAACAGCCGAAGGCCACCAATGGGTCTTCAATGCAGCGAGAAACTCCCGCACCCGAAGGCGTCGTTCAGCTGGCCCCTAAACAAATATTTATACTAGTTCAGTGATAATGGACGTCATAATAAACTCCAAATTATACACAGGAAACTAAAATTAAAAATGATACAAGATTAACAAAGGCCAGAGGCTCCTGACTTAGAACAGGCGCAAAAATGCGGCGGGGTTAAACATGTTTTTTGAGATCTCAACCCTCCCCCTATACCTCTAGCCAATGTAGAAAAAACAAACGCACAACAGTACGTACAGTAAAACTCAATATAAGAGAAGTCCGAGTCCGATGTCAGAATAGGAAACAAAAAAAAATAAACAAAATGACAATAATACATAAATAACAACAGACTACGAGCAGTTACTGACATGCAAGCTCCAGACCTCAATTAAACTGATTACAAGATTATGTCTTCATCATATGAGTATCAGGCACAATCCCTCCTGTTAGGGGTTTAGTATTATACCGTCATAAAATATATGAGAAGAACATAACCCGTGTCATGCCAACAACTGGTTTTAGAATAAATGTGTTTAATTACGATGCAAAGACCCTATAAGTAAAATTAATATTAAAGCCAAAATATGCAATCTTTAATGACCTGAAAACAGTATCATAACTATATCCCTTATAAATAAGTCTGTTTAAAGGTTTTGTTAGCTTTTGAGGTGAATACTGACATTTTTGTGCTTTGTAAAGAATATTACCATAAAAGATTGGGTGTGAAATACCCGAACGTATAAGATAACTGCATGTTGAGTTATATTTACGAATGATGTCCTTATACCGATGATAAAATTTAGTAAATGTTTTGACTAGTTTATGATATCGAAAACCCTGGTGTAATAATTTTTCAGTAATACATAAATTTCTCTCGCTAAAATCTAATACGTTGTTACATACACGAGCGAATCGTACAAGTTGAGATATATAAACACCATAAGATGGTGACAAGGGAAAGTCACCATCTAAAAATGGATAATTAACGATAGGAAATGAAAAATCATCTCTTTTATCATATTAAGCTTCCCGTTAATGACATAGATATCAAGATCGAGGAAAGGACAGTGGTCATTGTTAGTATTACCTTTATTTAAAGTAAGTTTAACAGGATAAATTTCTTTAGTATACATACTGAAGTCGTCATTATTAAGAGCCAATATATCATCCAAATATCTAAAAGTATTGTTAAATTTTTGTATCAGATGTTGTTTCGATGGGTCTTTCCTGATTTTAGTCATAAATTGTAACTCATAACAATACAAAAACAGGTCCGCAATAAGTGGTGCACAGTTAGTCCCCATTGAAATTCCGATAACTTGACAATATACGGAATCTCCAAAGTAAACAAAAACGTTATCAAGTAAAAATTCAAGGGCAGATATCAAAGCATGTCTTTTGTTTGTTGCTACTAAAAAATTACCTAAAAGAGTTTGAACAAATGTATTCGCATTCCGACTTTTCAAAAAATTCAAAAATTTGAACCGATTCAAAATCACCAATATATGCATGCAATTTATCAAGTACTTCCAACGAGTTTTTGACACTCCCAAAGTAATTAATTCCACTTATTCAAAGGCCTTATTTGAACAATTTATTATCAGGTTTTTGATTGTACCAAGTGTACTAGTAAATAGAATAGACAATTTAGTAGTGGAACAATGACTTGAAGACGAAATAAATCTATATTTGTAAGGTGATTTGTGTAGCTTAGGAAGCCAGTACATAGTTGGGACTTTCATTGTATTTGGTTCTGCTTGTAAAGATGTAGCTAATAGTTTATGTTTGTTACAGATATCGTTTTCTGAAAATGAAGTCAGTTGGAATGTTGGTGAATTAGTGATTTCCTTTTGCAGAAACTCAATGTAAAATTTACGTCAAACTATAATAATATTATTAGCAGCTTTATCAGCCGGGACAAAAACAAATTCCTTGGCTAGTTCTTTTAGTTTATTTTTGATACGAGAAATAGGATTTTTATGGTTGTTGTTAAGAGTAAAATGTTCTTTAAAATGTTGTATACGTATATCAACTATCTTCATTACTGAATTAAAAAAAGAGTCCAAAGATTTTTTGTCAGCTTTTTCCCGTTTTATCCATTTCAAACAATAAGCACGAAGTGATTCGTTGATGATATTACGACACTCATTCCAATTAATAATTGACGGGGGACGATATTTAGGTCCTTTACTGAAGAAATGATTTTAACTCTCGGTCACGAACGATGTTAAGGTCTCCTGTTATAACATGGGAAATGGGGCCAAAAGTGTATTCTGAATTACTACAATTACATGACGTAGGTGTATTTTCACTGATATTTACATCTTTACAGACTTGGCTATAATTAAACACAAATTTCCGGGTAGATTTCTTGTAAATATAACAAATAAGAGGGAGTTCAGTATTATCAAAATATCCAGGAATTTGTTCTTTAACAGAATGGTCGTTAAAAATACCGGCAATATTTACAAAATCAAAACCTTTATTGACATACTTTATTTTAATAAAAATGTTTTTATGATCTTCAGGGCGAGAAATTTTGGGAAACAGTTTAGAATAACAATATGCCATTATAATTTGAACGACTTCATACTTAGGACTGCAATATGAAATTGTGTTGCAATCCTCTAAAATTTTATCTAATTTATTTATAGGTAAAGAGCAGAGCTTGGTTAATAGATAATGGGTGCCGTTGTTTTTTTGAAATAGAAATTAGGTCCGAAATATTTGTATGGTAAGTCCGAAATTTTCTTTGATTGCGATTTTTTCTACGCCCATGAGAACGGTTTTTACGAACAGTTTAAGAAACTATATCCAAAATGTTAACAGAATCGGTTCTTGATATATTACCAATTCCCATAATATTATCATTAAGACCGAGAGGGTAGACTGTCTGTAATTTTTTAATCCAATTTAATTCAATTATTTTCCGTGATCGTACAAACTTTGAATGAGATTCACCAGGCTGCTTATTTACTACTTCTAAAGGTTGAACTGTTAAATATTTAATAGGATGATTGTGCTTTTTACAATGTTGATAAATGATACTTTTGAATTGATTGGGTCTTTTAAAACGATACAAGTGTTCTTGCGTGCGTTTAGATAAATATCGTCCATATATATAAATGATTAAGTAGCAGAACTGTACCGCAAATTTATTTTCAAAATATTACAGCGTTTTAGGGTTCACGATTGCTTTTCTTTTGTTCAATAAAACAATGTTTTTTGAGGATTGGTCATGTAATTTAGTATTTGGTGTTACTGAACCGAAATATTCTCTGGGACTGACATCATCAATGTGCCTTATTTGGTGATTGCCAACATATAAGTCACGTATGGAGGACATGTTTTTCAACAAAAAATATGTATTCCTATTGGAAACAACTGTGCCCCTCCTCTTGTCGACATTTCCATTTATTTATATGAGGCAGAGTGCATTTGCGACTTCCCAGAACGAATGAAAAGAAGTTAGAATTATACTTTCACTTCACGTTCTGTTATGAAGATAGATGTCCTTTCACTAAATAATTAAAAGTTGTATGTCTATGTTGAACGCAATTCTAGCCAATTAAGATTGGTGTCTATCGCACGTACCCTGTGCTGGTTTTGTACGGACGCCAGAACGCGTTGGTTGATCTTTATGAAATATATGTCTCAAAGATGACCTCAGACATGTCATCACTGTCGTCACCTCTATCCCGTCCTCCCTTCATCGAATCAGACATCACAGAAATTGCACTTATGAACAACATAACAGATGATTCTAGAGGAGCAGGATCTGCTCACCCTTCCGGGGCACCAGCTGAGATCACCCCATTTTTTGGTAGGGTTAGTTTGTTTTTTACGCCACCTCAGATCAACCGTTATCCGGAAAAATAGAAGCGTAGTGTCAAAAACTAAGCTTCAAACTAGTGAATATCAATACGAAAAAGTTATGAGCATATTATTGAGGCATCCGAATAAAAAATGAACAGCCATTGTAGAGACATTATCTACCTTTGTCAAAAGACGTAAATCGTGTTTTATTGAGCATTTATACAGCAAATATACGGTTTTTGTTTTCTTTTTCCCAATTTTATCATTGAATCTAAAAGCTAATCTTCTAAAAAGATGCAATCAAATATTAAGGGTCCTTCTTTTTCTTCAAACTAGATACAAAAATACAGGTAAACTTTAATAAAATGCGTAAGAACATAAACAAGCAAAATATCGCTATGGTGAGTACAACATACATACAGGCAAACATTTTGTTCAAGCCAGTAAACAACTAATAATACTCATATACGATCATTACTATATTAAGACAACTTCTTAAATGTTACCTAGCTTTCGGTGTCGTTGTCAACTGTTACTGTAGGTGTAGACAGATATAAGAAGATGTGGTATGAGTGCCAATGAGACAACTCTCCATCCAAGTCACAATTTGTAAAAGTAAACCATTAAAGGTCAAAGTACTGCCTTCAACACGGAGCCATGGCTCACACCGAACAGCAAACTATAAAGGGCCCCAAAAATGACTAGTGTAAAACCATTCAAACAGGAAAACCAACGGTCTAATCTATATAAAAAAACGAGAAACAAGAAACACTTATGAACCACATCAACAAACGACAACCACTGAACATCAGGTTCCTGAATTAGGACAGGTGCGAACAAATGCAGCGCGTAGACATTTATTTGAACAGCATTATATTACTCTTAATTGCCGTCTAATAAATGTTTGCATCAAATCACTCTTGAAACTGTGAAATAATGCTAGAAACAACGTTGAAACAATTGTTTATGTATTTTTCAGGCCTCTCTGTCAACTATAGTTTTACTTTTGTTTCCGCTGGTTTCATTTTACTGTGCAAATACAGTTGCAGTTCAAGGAGGTAGGATTTTTTGCATAATTCATTTTGTAAAATAATACATAACACAACCTGAATTTGAAATGTAAGCATTACATTCTTTATACATTCCATCTGTAGGGGTTCCTTGAGTTTTTATCCATATAAATGGTAGTGCTATACTTGAACTCTTGACTCTGTAATACAAACACAAAAACATTATTACGATAACTGAAATACTTACTAACAATGAAAGTAGTTTTTTCATGAAAAATCAAATATATTAATTTTTTCTTGTCATTCTAAAATATTTGAGAAAGCTCAATAATTGTCGATTGCTGAATAAGATCTTTAAAATAAGGAACTCAGGCCCTTAATTAGAGGCATGGCTCCCCATTTTGCTACTGGTATTTTCGTAATATTCTTTACTACTTCAAATGAATTAAGGAGATGTGGTATGATTTCCTATGAGGCAACTATCCAACAGAGTCCAAATGACGTGGATTTAAGCAACTATAGCTTATTTTTCTTTATTAAATGTGTTCATAAAATTACTGATACCATTCACATTCGGAGCAGTTGATATATGACGCCCCTCTATTCCTAGCTAAATAAACAAAGAAAATATCAATAACAAAAAGGTGATCCAAGGGAATCCATGTAACTAGATATAAAATTGAGAATGGAAATGGGGAATATGTCAAAGAGACAACAACCAGACCAAAGAGCAGACAACAGCCGAAGGCCACCAATGGGTATTCAATGCAGCGAAAAAATCCAGCACCCGGAGGTGGTCCTCAGCTGGCCCCTAAATAAAATTGCGTGCTAGTTCAGTGAAAATGGACGTCACACTAAACTCCAAAACATATAAATGAACTAAAATTTAAAAACATACTAGACCAACAAAGGCCAGAGGCTCCTGACTTGGGACAGGCGCAAAAATGCGGCGGGGTTAAACATGTTTTGTGAGATCTCAACTCTCCCCCTATACCTTTAGCCAATGTAGAATAAGGAAACACATAGCAATACGCACAGTAAAACTCAGTTTAAAAGAAGTCAGAGTCCGATGTCAGAATAGGTAACAAAGGAAACTAAGCAACAATGACAATGATACATAAATGAACAAAGGACTACTAGCAGTTACTGACATGCCAGCACCAGTCCTCAATTAAACTGATTGAAAGATTATGTCTTCATCATATGAAAATCAAGTACAATCCCTCCCGTTAGGGGTTTAGTATCATACCATCATAAAATATATATGTTGATGATCATACCAGATCAGAGGACGATAGTAAATTACGTCCTGCACTTATCTTTGGTTGATGCAGTCGCGATTGTCATTGGATATCGAGAACAATGGTCTTACAAGCGAGAAGATTTAATTTGGATCTATATAAGGGTGGTCAAAAGTTAAAAAAAACACGTCATTCTTTTAGTATGTGAACTGTGGAATTTCAAATTATACTTTGCTTTAAACATTAAGCAGAAATGTTCAACATAAGCCATCAAAAATACTCAACTCAACATTTTAATGAGGTAGATAAATGTTTTGTGACTCATTTAAAATATACAAATTTACCCTTACTATATACTAAGCACGTATATTGACCTCAATATCTGTTAACAGTGTTGTCGGAATATTGCAGTACTACGTGCACCTAGTATGACGTTTACCGTAAAACCCATTTAAAAATAATGTGAATACATTGAAGCCAGATGAAGCGGGTAAATCCGTGAACAAAAAATCGTCGAAGGAGGGCAATTTATTTGACTTCTATATAAATACCGATTTACGATCACAATAAGAGGATTCGACTACCAATCCGAATTGAAACAGACCCTTCTCCTAAAACTTTCCGCAATTTTTTTTTTTATTGCCAAGGTCATCCCAAAGTACTAATGATATATTCAAAATTTTATGAAAAGAAAAACGAAGAACAAGTGTAGAGACGAAATAGCAAAGTACAAAAACAAAAAGAGATTGTTTAAACGTTTTTGACAAAATATATACACACCAGGCAAACACCGCTCACTTTGGCCTATATGTCAGAGTACTGGGTGTGGTAGAATAGTCAGATGTAAAAAGATTGGTTGAATGATGGGTAAATGTGCATGACTGCCAATGGAAAAAATCGTATATTAGAAAGGTCCAGGGATGAAAAAATCTTCATGACCCTAGAAAACTCTTGGGGATTTGAATTGAGTTATATTTTTATCAAACAGCAAACTAACAATACAGAACAATCAAGATATTTAGAGTCAACATAAGTCTTTTATAATAGACAGATACCTCATTAAATGCAAATGTATCAAGATCGAAACCGCCTCGTGTAAGGAGCTAATTCAGCGTTATTTATAACATTTTTACTATGGTTTTTCCCTATTATCTTATTTCAGTCTATTGCGATTATGTCGAGCAATAATAAAAACTAAGAAAGGAAAGATTATTTTTTTTAGAAAGTGTTCGCTAAGTTAAGACTTGGAAAGCGAACGACGTACAATGTATGACTAACATAGAAGTATTTTTCTTATGTAAATCAATGTATTTAAGAATAATGACCAATCTTGCCAAAGTATCGTCCATACAGGTTTAGTGAACCAATAAAACTTCTAAATCATTTTTTTGGTAGAGATCAGCAGCTGAGACATCCAGTACCCCACCCTTTTGACATATTTTGAATAACCGAAAAACATACACTATCATATATTTTATGACAAAAATACATCTGTAGCTATAGTGATGACGTTATTTCTTGGAGAGAAAATACATTTGACACTTAATTATGTTATATATTTCCATCTATGGTTTTAATTGCATCTGTGAGAAATATCGAAATCTGATTAATTTTAGAAACGCTTAATTTAATCAGTTACTTATAATATATATTTCATCTTTATTTCTCAACCTTACAGTATATTTTTTTTGCTACCATTCATAACATAGGAAGTGTGTTTTTGTTCCTGCGGACAAAGCTTTAAATAATATTATCTGTGTATGTAAATCGTACTACATGTACTTCGAGTGTCTTGTAAAAGAATTAGGAATAAATTAGCACTCAGGTAATCCGACATACAAAAACATATCATTTGACAAGGATGAGATTTTGTCAAACTATAAGTCGTTCCTGGCTTTAATGAACATTAAATTGAAAGCAAATCGGAGGACTTACCTTGTATGTATTGGATACCTAAGCTTCACAAAATTCCGTACAAACAACGGTACATTGCCGGCTCATCTGCGAGTTCGACGAAGGAATTGACTATTGGATTGACAAAAATTCGGTCCGCAGTGAAAGAGGAACTTCAGAAGTACTGTGAAATAGTTTACTCGCAATAAATAGTGGTATTAACCATATGTGGATTCTAAAAATGAACTTCTGCATAATTTGGAAAAAAAAGACAAATCGTCTAAAAGAAATAATCAACAATGCTTTTCAACATAAAAATGTTAGCATCCGCTATAAATCTATTACTTTGGGATACCATACGGCATATTTTGTTAACAGTATACAAAAAGGTAAATCATGCTGCAAAGAGAAACAAGTGATCAGTATACTTGAGTTCCGTATTGACAACAAATTTGTTGAATTTGGACGTAAACTTTTTCAACAAATTGTCGGCATTCCTATGGGAACGAACTGTGCACCTCTCCTTGCCGACCTCTTTTTATTTTCATATGAGTCGGAGTTCCTTCAGACACTGGTCAAAAGCAAGAAATCAAAGAAGCCAGATCATTTAATTTCACAATCAGATATATTGATGATGTTCTTTCCATTAAAAATCCAAACTTTTCTGATTGGGTTCCATTATATATCCTCCAGAACTAGAAATTATAGAAACAGCAGACACGGCTTCCTCAGCCTCATTTTTAAACTTATACCTCGAATTTGCCATAAGCGGTCATTTCAGTACCATAATCTATAACAAACTTGACGATTTTAATTTTGAAATTATCAATTTCCCTCTTACCTTAGTAGCAATATGCCAACCTCAACTGCATATGGGATATACATTTCCCAACTCATTCGGTGTTCAAGAGCTTGCAGCTGCTACTCAGACTTTGTAAAACGTCATCACTGTCTGAGCAGAAAGTTGATGGGTAATGTCAAAGAACGTCTCGTCCTTTTTCTAAAAAAAAGTTCACGGGAAGATACCAAGACCGTGTTGATAAATATTCCGTATCAACTTCACAAATAATACTCGATGGTCTTAAAGTAGAGATTCTAGGTACTGACGTTGTTTATCATCTTAATTACGTGTTATAGTGTTCTTTTATTTGTCTTTGTAAATCATTACTTTTACTGTTTAGTATATTTTTGGTAATATCCATTTGACGTGGCTAGGTACTTATACATCCCGTCATTGTGTTATTGTGCTATCGTAATGTTTTGTATTCTTGTCTTTCGTTTTTGCTAATGTGCTTCGTCTATATGCCTTTTTGTTTTTCTTTGTTGACATATTTGTTTATTTTTAAAGTGATTAAGATTATAACACAATATTGACTGCTACACCCCTATTTTTGACATTTTAACCTATTATGTCTGTTTGTTTTGTTCACATCTTGTTGTCAATATAATGGAATTTTAAGCGACTGTCATACAACTGAGAGGTTTAGCTAGCTATATAACCAGGTTTAATCCATCATTTTCTATATTAGAAAATGCCTGTACCAAGTCAGGAATATGACGGTTGTTATCCATTCGTCTGATGTGTTTTGAGCTTTTGATTTTGCCTTTTGATTATGGACTTTCCGATTTGAATTTTTCTCGGAGTTCGGTATTTTTGTTATTTTACTTTTTAATGTCAATATTAACTTATCATTGAACTTTTACTATTACTTATTTTCCTGATTTTGATGCTAACACCTCAAATTTGTGCTCCATACTTTATTAAATTACTCTGCTAAATGTCTATAAAAATACTGGAATCAAATAATTTTAAGAATAACTCGCTTGATTGTAATATTATATGACAAGATAGTTGTATTTCAGATCAAACCAAAATCACCATACAAGTCTGTTCAAGGACTTGTCGGCTAGTATCACCATACAAGTCTGTTCAAGGACTTGTCGGCTAGTTTGTCCTAAACCTTCATATATGGTCAATTTCTGATCATTCCGCCCTTGTTAAAAAGTAAATTGATTTTCCCTTGAATAATTTGAGTTGAAAAATATTTGAGATTTATCATATAATGAAACAAGTATGAAAAAGTGACGGGAAAAATAACATTCATCAAACAGAAGGAAAACCAGTCAACTTGATATAGTACACTTAAACATCTTATTTACGTATTTGTATGTGTAACTTTACATAATTATTGAATTAAAGCTATTCATATAAATAAAATGACTTGATGGCCAAACCATTTAATTTCTCAAGGGTAAAGCGTGGGGGGTGGGGGGGGGGGGGGGGGTTTTTCGAGGGAAAGGAGGGGGGGTGGTAGAGGATATTTTTGGAAATAATGCGTAGCATCAGATGAAAATGAATATACAATTTGTAAAACATCCTCCTGATCCACCTTGTATTATTGTCTCCCAATTATGACCCTGCTAGCAAACACTGTAATCTCAAAATGGATAAAGATCGTCCACTGATCATATATTTAATAACATTAACAGTACCAAATTTACTGCACTAGATGCGTATTTCGACATTCAATTTCTCTTCAATAAGTGAAGTTTGGTTTTAAAACCCAAGTACAATTCAAGAGTTGTAGTCCGGTAATTCCTTTCATGAATTGATTGCATTATATCTAAGTTACTTTGATCTCATTCGTCAACCGCAATAGACACTTTCCTTTAGTATGTTCTCATGATTATATACATGCATTGTATATGTATACATGAAAGGTTGCAATCCGATAAAGATATTTGATTATTTGGCCGGAATCCACGATGATTCACAGACGGATAGACGCACGGCGCTCCTTTTAGCTTGGATATAAATCAAGCCAGTTTTATTTATATATATATATATATATATCTTGCGTACATATGCACAAACAATTGGCAAATGTACACGTAGAATTTAGCATTAATGGTTCCGGTTTGTAATTTTACCCTTATTGTAAATTTACATGCGTGTGAATTTGCGTTCACATATGTACTTTTTACAATTACATGTTATTCTACATACATATAAGCAAACAAGTGTAAATTTTTGCATGTAAACGCTGTTCTAGTTAATGAATGTATTCATTTGTGTATTTCAAATAGGAGTTCGTTTAGGAGGAGCATGTACTATTAACACCAACTGTACAACAAATGTTACAAATTCAGAATGCAAGAATAAGACATGTCAGTGCGTATCGACATTCTACCCACAAACTGAAAATAATACATGCCAAGCAAGTAAGTATATGCAAGCATAAAATACTTTTAAAAGTTTATTAGACTAACAGTTAAACAATGATTAACACATTTAATTAATACGCTACATGTAATACGCTACATGTAATAAATGTTCACCTGGGAAAATTAGTGATGAAACAGTGTTTTTGCTGCAATAACAAACAAGTATCAGAAGATATCCGCCTGGGAACCAAAATGAAGTTTTGTGTTCAACCGTTAGGCATTTTTTTCAACCACAACAGCTAGGGACAATAATAAATAAAAGTTAAATCATCTTTGAGGTGAGGTTTTAAAAAAATGTTTATATACATATTGAATAGAGAGAATTACACAAACAATAAGTAGCACAATTAATAAAAATTCATAAGACAACATTGTTCATCCTTAAAAACATACAAACTCATAATGTGCAATACTAACATGCTTTAGATCACAGCTCGGATCACTGACTAATTATAGATACTTGTGATATAAATTGCTTTCCATAATTTGTTACAGAAAAAGCTCTGGGTGTCCAATGTACGGAAAATGAGGAGTTCAGTGATGTTAACGCTACATGCACCAGTACTTGTAAATGCAAAACTTCCCATTACAAGGACAGCACCAACAGCTGTAAACCACGTAGGTGTAAATTTCACATCTTACCAAAGTTGAATCAAAACACTGCTTTAGTTGAAATTTGACAAATGACTCTTTAAATATAATAGAATCAGCACTAATATATAACAAAAATAAGGAGATGTGGTTATATTGACAATGAGACAACTTTCTACCAGAGACAAAAAGGACAAAGTTGTTAACAGCTATAGGTCACCGTACAATTTTCAACAATTAGCAAATCCAACAAGTCTCAAAAACATACAATATTTTTACTGTCATCTTCTGGCCACTCAATTGAAAGAAGTGTAAAGTGTAAAATAATATGATTTTTGCCATGTTATCGTTGTAATTAATTCGCTTATGAATTAGTAAATTTTTGCACAGCTCCGTGGAAAACATTTTCCTCTATTTCAGTGTTTTCACATTTGGAGATTTATTTTTAAATCGCACACGGTCAGGAATAAAATCAACAAAAAATGGTTCAGACATCATTACATTTTAATTAATTTTATGACAACAACACGGTTCGTGATCAATAAGAATATCTCTTGTTCAGATATGTGTACAAAAACACCGGATTTCTGAAAGACTTGTAACCATGCGGGTATACGACTTGTTCGGAAAAACGTATACCTAGGACGATATGTAACATTTTAGGAAAAGGGTTGTCTCAATATTTACAATTATCACAGGCATCTTCATACTATTGACCGTCTGTTCAGTAGAATATAATTACTCGATCCTGATAGAGCACTTTGTGGGAAAAGGGAAAATAGCGGAACATGAAATCGAATAACTGTCCATCAAAACATGACAATGAAAGTAATATAATATATTACATGATATGATACTTTAAAATGAATAACTTTAAAAAAAAAAAAAGGTTACTTTTTAAATATGATTTTAAATACTATATAATTGAGTTAACTCAATGAAACTATGTTTTCTTAAATTCCATTATAGGAATTGCCCCAAACAATGCATGCGGTAATCCAAAGAATACTTCGTGTGTAGCTCATGCATTTTGTAATGTAACCACATGCGCTTGTTATAAAGGATTCAAGACCACGAAAACAGGATGTAAGTAAACTTTATGTCTATATCAAGTACAGATCTCTCTGTATATAATATCAGTGACAACAATGCAAACGAGGAAAAATATGTTTTAAACACAAATGAAATTTTATATAGGATTGCATTTAAATACTACGACATATAATTTGCAATTCCCATACAATATGGCTATAATCTTCCTGATGTAATGGAATGAGAATTGTTTTCATGTGTTTAGTACATATTGCAACCTTTCCACTAGAAAATATAATTGCATGTTGGAGTAAATGGCAAATAGACTGAAACACTACAAGTTAAGACAGTTGAAATCATAAAGGCAAAATAACCCTTCATCAATATGTTGATGCCCTATCGAATAATCAGCTCAGGTCGCTGAGATAATATGAATTTAAGAAAGACAACCATAAATATATCATTTCCCAAATTGATCTGGCAGGAAATTATAATAAAAACATTTTTTTTTAATCGCTGTGTTGGCCATTCAGTGTCGTATGATAACACTTTTAATTTCATTCAGAGTTCGAGAAGAATTAATACGAATTAACATAGTACACATGTGAATAAGACAGAAATGGACCAATTAAAAAGTCAGAAAAGAAAAAAAGATAACTCTTTAATAAATTTAAAATGTTAGTCGGCGAATACTTTTAACCCAGTTAAAGATTTGAGAACAATAATGTTACTGTACAATACCCGTTGTAAATTAATCTATGAAGGCACACAGGAGATTCCAAACGACTAGTGTTTAAATCTTTTGCTTCAGGAAATAGATAACTGTAAAACTGTAGAATATATTACTACACAATATTTGGATGATTGCCAGAGGGACAACTACCCAAAAAATTACCAAAAGGACAAAGATGTGATCAATCACAGTTCACCATACAATTATGAACGATGAGCAAAACCAAAATCGTAAACTATATCATGTGATTAAAGGCTCCATGGTGACAAAAAAAAACTTTATTAATGCTGTAACATAAACTAAAAACAATTATGATAGACAGCATTTAATGACAACCAATGTTCTGGATTTGTCTTTTTCAGGAACGCTCAAACCAAAACAATAAATGAAAACCAATCACAAAATGATAGTCAATCATGTATAATTACGTAGAAACGTTAGTCTTACATCTAATACAGAGTCACTCATCAGATTTTCAATATAAACCCTAAATTTTTTTTTAACAAAGTTTCATATCCACCAAATGCTATCATAGTGGCAAAATATTGAGTAACATTCCGTACATCATATAAAATATGTTTTGATTTTGCTTCGGGACTTTCCGTTTAGAATTTTCCTTGGAGTTCGGTATTTTTGTTATTTTACTTTTTTCACTTCCAATGACCGTAACTAACTCTGTTTCTGATCATTCTTTGAATGAAACAAAACAACTTATTTAACTTTACTGTGATGATTTATTGCCGTAATTCTCATAGTTTAATTTGAGGGTCCTAAACAATTAATTGTTCTCAAGTTGAAAATACAAAATTTTACAATTTGTTTCAATTTAATAGAATTAAGCAATTTTTTTAAGCTTGGAAGTGAAATTATCATCATAAGCCACAGATTTGTCTTCCTCAAATTTTAGGATCCCAACTATTCTGGTACTGTTTTGCCCTTCACGATACAAAGATTTGCCAAATGTTCTTGCAAACGATATGAAATAATATCTCAAACTTCGTCGAATGGTTGTTTTGCATTAAGCCTTATTTTGTATAACACACTTGTTAAAAGCTATTTCTGTTTTCAGAGTTAGTTACGGTCATTGGAAGTGAAAAAAGTAAAATAACAAAAATACCGAACTCCAAGGAAAATTCTAAACGGAAAGTCCCGAAGCAAATGGCAAAATCAAAAGCTCAAACACATCAAACGAATAGATAACAACTGACACAATGCTAACATTTTGTTTTCTTGTAAAGACACGATATAATTACTTACACTTTGTAGAAATGCTGTCGTCCTAACTCTTATATTTTATTGCCCACCTATAAACTACTTTGGTTCTGTGTATGGTTCTTGAAATTTTTAAAAGTTACCCAGTTTTCTATTCTTATGTGGCAAGTATCAATTGAATTCCCAATATTTAATTTTCAACTTTTAACATATCATTGACGAATTTGACCTCTTTCTTCGTTCGTTATATTTCCTCTCAACTAAAGAACCAAAGCATAGGGAGACGCCAGCAAGGATGATTTAAGTATTGAAATATACCCATCTGCACGTCAAAATCCAGGTATACCAAATTTGGTGACATACATAAAGTTCAATGTCATATATTTGGAATTTTCCATGTTAAGAAACCCATGTTATAATTTTTTTTGCCATTGAGTGTCATGTTGCAAGGTAAAATGTTACGCCTTACCTTTCAGAGATCTTTGTAGATCCATTGTGCCAAAAGAACCTAGCTTAAATCGTAAATATGCACGAAATATTTGACACTGGACCTAAGAAAATTTACACTGAAAGTTACTTATAGAAATTGTACGATGAGATGATAATCTAAATTATGATAATACTTTAGCCATGATTGCTCTCAATCCTTCGAGTATACAGTGCGTCAGTACTTTGGTTAAATTATCTAATTTAAGCATTAAATGTGCTTCAAATGTAATAAATGTGTTTTACATTAAATTGATTAGCATTGTATATGCAAATACAACTAGTGAGTGTTTTTCTAATTTCACTGGAGTATTGTTTCAATGTATCAAAAGCTCAATTAAAGAAAATATAAATACAGTTTAAAATTCATTGTTAGGTAGATATGGTTGCATTTTATTTCTATGCGGTCAAAAAGTGAAGTAACAAAAACGTTTCTCATATATGCATTTTGTTGTATATCCCATTTTATATTATCAGGTAATGCTGCAGTAACCATGGCTATAGCGGAGATGTCAACCATCATAATGTGCTTTATGCTGGCGTACTTCGAAGTTTTAAAATAGTTTTTAGTCCTGAATAACACAACCTGTGTGAACACTTATAATTAGTTTTTTTACATGTGTTAAGACTCATAGGATGATTCATTTTTAACTGAAAAACGAATACGGTACATATATGTAAAACAAATATAACATTCGGTCAAACAAAGGTAAGCTGCAGCATCTTCATAAATATAATTAAAATGACATAATATACCGGTCACCATTAAAATTCAATCAAGTTTAGAAACATAAAAATTGGTTTCTGCCATCAAAAAGAGCAAGAGAACAACAGGAGACCAATTGCCATTTTATCAATTTGGGAGAGACCAGAAAGATGAAAGAAGGTCCGATAAGGGCGTATTTTGGCCTAAAATTTGAAGTTTATCTGATGAAAGATTTTTGACATTTTTCAAACACTTAAATGTCTTCTTCAGTCAATTCAATTAGTTGATGTAAAAGATTTGAACAGATTTGGTCATTAAAGACACCTAAATTCCTTCAAATATGACACAAAACGTCACTTTTCAGATGGATTTGTCTAAAATGGAAGTGGCCGCATTCGTGTTCAGTCTCAATCTTTATATATGTTAAGTATCATCATCAAACACAATATATATCTAAATATTAAGACTGAGCACAAATGCGGCCACTTCCATTTTAAACAAAAAACGTCTAAAATTGACACGAATTCTAAAATTTTGAAGAGTTCAGTAATTTTGAATGAATTAATGATGTTAGTACCTGATGCATGTGTAGTGTAAAAAACAGCCCATATTTATGTAATAAAAGTATTCGTCTTTCCAATAAAAAGGTAAAAGTTTACATTTTAGCAAATTTTTTAAAATTTTATATTTTGGGACCAAAAAGGGGTCTTACCGGGCTTACTCCTTTGAAATTATCACTTTGTCATTTTATTATTACACTATATAACATCAATTTGTTGCTTCCGAAGTGCCTGGGTTTAGCTTCACCAGGAACGCTCTATAACTCATGTTACGAATCATTCATAGAATATACATTTTAATGCAGGAAATAACAAATGAATTTATCTTAATGATTAATAGATTAATGTTTTGTTATCTTGTTTTTTTTGCGTATTAATTTGATATTTATTCGTAATTCTAAATAATGATGAGTTGGTAGGTACTGCCATATTTTCACAAATTGAGGGACAGTTGAAACTGTATTCAACTTGACTAAGTTACGCAACACATTTTAATGAAGGTTGAAACTGTAGTTCGACTTGATAAATACATCAGTTAACGTAACTTAATCATATAATAAACAGTTTTGTTCTCAAATATTGATTGTTATGATTATTGCCAACTATAAAATATGAACCTTTAAATTATTAAACAAAAAAATGATCATAAGTCATATTGTTTTGGTGTGCTAAAACAAGTCTTAACTTAGCGTTAAAACAAAAATATACAGAAAAAAACACTAAGGTGTTGGATGCTTTAACACGTAAGGCATTCTGTTTGAATTACATAATGTTTTAAATTATAGTTATCTGAAACAATCCTTATGTTGTACGTAATGTGAAACACCAAGCCCATATAGTTTAGGAGACACAAATGAACACATTATTGCAATTCCAACATCCCCACCCGTAAGCCTTTTTTAATGTGACAGTGGACCTCTTGTAACAGAAATTAAAAAGGCAACAAGGCATGAGTTCATTGCAACTAACAAAACAAAAAGCTTCGTCTTTTTCTATATGATGTAGTTAAAATGAAAAATAAAAAAAGTCACATCTCTCTTTTTGTTCCTCCAATTATTATATACAAAAGGATCCTCTCCATGGTGTTATTAAACAATATTGCATGGAAAGTAGTGATAATGAGCCAACTTCATCACCAGTCAAGTAGTCAGCACTTCTGTGTTGACATGAATAATCATTGATTTCGTCATATTTATAAATTAGTTTTCTACAAAACTTTCACTTAATCATGATAATCGAAATGATTAGGATCTTGGTTGAAAAGATTTTTTTATAAAAATTTAGTATATGGTCTTGGAACAAGTAATCGTTATGAGAGACATATCGTAAGTTGTATTGTTGAACATCATTATTATTTAACATTGCTAAGTAATCAGGTGTTAGTCCATTTACAATTTTATACATTATAATTGATTGTTAGTATTTTATTCTTTCTGTAAAGGATATCCATTTTAAAGGAGAAAACATAGAATAAGACTTCATTTTTGTTTTTCCACTCCGCTGTGCCTTGGATATTTAGTCACTTGCTATAATTATAACACTTATCAACTGTAATGGATAAAATTGAGTCTACGTTTTTATATAGAAAAAAGGAAGACACATTAAACATGTTAAATGCATGTATAGAATAAGGGATCAACATTGCTACTCCGGCTTCGCTGTTTATTCTCAATGTTACTAAAGCAAGACTATATTGTATTGCTGTCTCATTATTGACGCATACCTCAATCTCTTTTAATCAAAAGGTAACGAATTTCAGTGTTTCATTAAATTTTAGCAATCATGTCATTCTGAAAACTTACAAATTGTGACTCACGATATGTGGTATTAAGTCCTCTAATTGCATATGTTGAATTTAGAAAAAACACAATAGGTTGATAAATCATAATTATAATGGATGTTGAACGACCAGCAACAAGTATTGCATGCATATTAAGGAGAACAATTTTTTAAATCCATGTCATATTAAGATGTATAACAAATGTTGATCGCTAAACATCCATAGGCAATTATTTCGTTTAGTTTTAGGATGGAAACAAATCAACAATTAATATAATAGGTAGGGTCTGAAGGGCAGTTCGTCCGAGATGTAGGACAGGGAATTTGGATTTTCAACTAAAAATTGAGGGGACTTTGGTAAAGGAAAATTTTACCATGCAACTTGTAACCTACTAACTCTTCAAAATGTTGTAGCAAGGGATCGTTACGTTAGCGTCCAGATAGCGCGTAACCGCCCGTACACGGATCATTGGATGTAACATCCTCATTTCGACTGAATGTTTCATAAACGGAAGGGTCATTATAAGAATTGTTGCAGACGTAATTTGAATTGTTTGACAGTGAGTCTTACTAGTACCGTTCAAATATATTCTGAAGTATACAATTATTTTGTGACTTCAAATTGTTCAGGCTTTGGCGTTATGTACCTTGGTTGCTGTAACATTGAAAAAGAAAAGCATCTTTCAGGTCTTTCAATAAAGATCCATCGTAAGGCATTTGCCGAATTAATGAGAGATAGCACTGTAATGTATCAGTGGACAATTACAGAGGAAAATAATCATAAAAGACAAATACAATGACGAAGGTGACTTTTGAACATAACTTGCATTTACACAAAAGCAACAAGGTAACAGGCTCCTTGATTTTCAAAAAAAAAATTATTTTGTTTTTACAGTCGGTCGATTAAAGTATCTTTCTGTAATATAACTGTTTTTCATTCAACTGATGGAAGAAGGTATTTCTCAACCAAACTGATATTGTAATGTAATCACTTTTCTTACTTATTGATAAATTTTATTCTTTTTCTGATTTTCTTACGGTTTCAAAATATAAACTGGCCTCTCACAAATACTATAAATTTCAGTTTAATTTTAGGATGAGACCTCATGAAAAATGTTAAAAGGAATGTTCAAGATCTTTTGGTTTTTTGCAGTTTCTGACTAATACCTATAACTTCACAAACTAGGTTATTGGTGTAGAAAGCACATTTAAAAACAACTTTCCAACCACCCACCCCCCCCCCCCCCCCCCCCTTTCCCCCCACTTACGTTTTTCATTACATTGCTCAAGTTGGTGGTCATCCTATTGGTAGCTGCACTGTGCATGTTTTAAATTGCATGTTTTAGTTTTCCGACTACTGGTCTAGTAAGCCATAAGTGGTGATAATGTATGTGTGGGAGGATGAATTGCACGCCAAGCTAGTCTAACTTCACCATAGTGTGTGCCTGTATCACGCCAGGATGCTTGGACCATATGCTGTTAGCTCTTACCTCTTTCAACGTTGAAAGTCTTACAAAACTTTCTGATCTCTTTGTATTAGTTTCCTTCCATGAATAGATTGAACGGTACTCATTAAATTGAAATACTATTTGGAAAGTTGTAATTTAATTTCAAAATGAGTCTTAAATGAGAATATCTGGAAAAAAACAATTGCATATGGTCTAGAAGTAGTATCTTGCCGTTTAGCAAATGTGGAATTTTTCTGTTTACAGTAGCAGAAAAGGTATACTTACTAGCTTGGTTATTTTAACACCATATTTACAGAACGTAATAGAGATTATGCTGAATAGTTATGAAAGGTACTAGGCTTATAATTTGATACGCCATACGCGCGTTTTGTCTACATAAGACTCATCAGTGACGCACAGATCAAAATAGTTAGAAAGACAAACAAGTATAAAGTTGAAGAGCATTGAGGACCTAAAATAAGATAAATTTGTTCTAGCTATTGAAAGCAGACAGTACTCATAATCGTTTAGTCTTTTAAACACTCGGTCATTGATAAGTATTAACATATTACTATAATACCACTTTGATTTAAACAATGATGTTGCTATGTATTTCATGTGCTGAAAAAATTAGTGGTGCACACGTCGACTGTTTTCATTTGATTTCCCTTCCGTTCCTTTTGGAAAATATAATAATATAAACAGGTTTAATCAGCCCAATCGTAAGTTTAAGCTAGCCATATATACCCGATGATCTTCTTTCTCGTAATACTAGTAGTAAATTAATTAAAATCAGAAAAAAAAAGACCCTACAGGAACAATATCTTGTGCATGATTTGTGAACTTAGGTATAAGAACTCACTTCATATATATAAAAAAAAAACATTCATAATTTGACGATTTTAGTCCTTGAGTAATGATTTTCATGAGAGGCAAAGTATTTGCATCACTTCCGAATGCTGCATACACAGCACAGAAGGTTTACTTTTTCATGATCATGATTGATTTTGACACGAGAAAAAAAAACTCAAACAATATGCTTATTCTTCAAGAGCATATGGTATCACTTCAGATCTTTATACAAAATTCATTAACATGTGTGTACGCGTACAAAAACTGCTCAAACATAGTTATGAGGAAGAACTACTGAAATCGACACCACATACGTTTACGGTCACCATCACGAATTGGTTGACCTATACGATGTTTAGGTTGCAATTCAGAAATGAATACGTTCATTTATTATTTAAAATTACTGATTACTGGTAAAAGGGCAAGATCGAATTAATGCGATTGCAAAACTTTTGTGAAGGAATATTACTACTGAAATTATCAATGTGACTTTGTTTTATTGCAAACCTGATACTGTGGCATTTTTTGCATTGAATACATCATCACAATAATCACTAGTAACCCGAATTTAGCTTGATCGGCCAAAAAGGTATTAACGGTATCTAAAAAAGATTATTGAACATTAAAGATTGACAAAAATTAAAAATTATTTTCAATGCATTTCAATCCATATCAAAGTATTTTAATACCAGTCAAATAGATTCCCTTGCGCATGTTGCGG